ACTACAGAGTATAGAAGACCAAAATATCATAGAAAAAAATCAATGAAACAGAAAGGATAAATAAGATTGACGGAACGGTAGCCAGATTGACCAAGAAAAAGAGACAAAAACCCAAATAAATACAATAAAAAATGTAAAAGACCAAGTCACAACTGACCCCGAAGAAATATAAATAGAGATTACTATGCATACCTGCATGGAAACAAATTCAATTCAAAAGCCGAAATGAAATGGAAAACTTTCTGACATCACACAATCACCCAAGGTTGAAACAAGAAGAAATAGAGACCTAAATAGACCAATAACAACTCAGGAAGTTGACTCCGTTATAAGAAAACTACCTACCTACAAACAAACAAACAAACAAACAAACAAACAAACAAAATAGCCCTGTACCAGAAGGCTTTCCAGTGGAATTCTACAAAATATACAGGGAGGAGCCGATATCAGTCTACTGAAAGTATTCCAGGCAATGGAGAAAGGTGAACTCTCCCCAAATCATTGTATGAAGCTAACATCACACTAACACCCAAACTGGGCAAAACCCAATAAAGAAAGAGAATACAGACCAACATCTCTGATGAGCATAGATGCAAAAGTTCTCAACAAGATTCTAGCAAATTGGATGCAATAACACATCTAAAAAATTATTCACCATGACCAAGTAGGCTTCATCCCCAGAATGCAGGACTGGTTTAACATCCATAAGACTATAAATGTAATTAAATATATCAACAGATGTAAAAACAAGAATCATGTGATTATATCATTAGATGAAGGAAAGCCTTTTGACAAGATCCAGCATCCATTCTTGATAAAAAACCCTTGAACACCTAGCTATAGAGGAAAATACATTAAAATAGTAAAAACCATCTATGATAAACTCATAACCAACATATTACTAAGTGAACAACATATTACTAAGTGAATGGAAGCATTTCTCCAGAACAAGACAAAACTGTCCACTCTCCCCGCTCCTGTTCCACATAGTGTTGGAAGTCCTAGCTAGAGCAATCAGACAAGAGAAGGATATCAGGGATATACAAATAAGAAAAGAAGTTAAGCTATCCCTCTTTGTGGATGAAATGATCCTATATCTGGAAAATACAATGGAGTTTGTCAAAAACCTCCTTGCACTGATAAAGGACTTAGGCAAAGTCTCAGGGAATAAAATCTACATGCAAATGACAGTTGCATTTTTATACACTAACAACAAAGAGGCAGAGAACCAAATAAAAAGTACAATCCCACTCGCAATAGCCACAAAAAAATGAAGTACCTTGGCATCTTCTTAACCAGAGAAGTGAAAGACCTTTACAATGAAAACTACAAAGCATTGCTCAAATAAATCAAAGAAGTCACAAACAAATGGAAAAATATTTTGTGTTCATGGATTGGAAGAATCAACATTGTTAAGATGTCCATCCTACCCAAGGTAATCTGCAGATTCAATACAATATCCATTAAATTACCATCATTATTCTCCTCAGACCTAGAAACAATACAGAAATTCATATGAAAACAAAAACAACAAATAGCCAAAACAATTCTCAGCAAAAGAAACAAAGAGACACTCTCAGACTTTAAACTTTATTATAAGCTTACAATAATCAAAATAACCTGGTATTGGTATAAGAACAGGCCTATAGACCAATGGAACAGAATAGAGATTCCGGAAGCAAAACCTCAATATCTCAATCACTCATTGACAAAGCCTCCACCAGCAACCACTGGGGGAGAGGAGAACCTATTCAGTAAATGGTGCTGGGAAAACTGGCTGACCACATGCAGAAAATTCAAACAGGATCCCTACCTATCAGCATACACAAAAATACAAATGGATCAAAGACCCAGACATAAAACCTCAAACTATAAGAATCTTAGAAAATGCAGAAGACATCCTTATAGAATTGGAATAGGCAGCCAATTTCTGATCAAAACCCCAGATACCCATGCCATAAGAAATAAGATAGACAAGTGGGACCTCATCAAACTGAAAAGCTTCTGCAAAGCAAAAGAAACCATCAAGAGAGTGGGGAGGCAGCCCACATAATGGGAAAAAAATATTTGCCAAGTGTATATCTGACAAAGGCCTAACATCCAGGATTTGCAAGGAACTCAAATGTGCTAAAAAGGAAAAAACAAACAACCCCATTAAAAAATGGGCAAAAGACATGATTAGATAAGTCTCAAAAGAAGATATGCGAGCAGCCAATAGAAAAAATGCTCAGTCTCACTAACCATCAGAGAAATGCAAATCAAAACCACATTGAGATACCACCTAACTCCAGTAAGTATGACCATTATTAATGAAATAAAAAACAATAGATGCTGGAGAGGATGTGGAGAAAAGGGAATGCTTCTACACTGTTGGTGGGAGTGCAAATTAATTCAACCTCTATGGAAAACAGTGTGACGATTTCAAAAAGAACTAGAAATTGACCTTCCATATGACCCAGCAATCCCCTTCTGGGAATCTAACTGGAGAAACTCAGAGCATTCTACAAAAGAGTTACCTTCGCACTCATGTTTATTGCAGCACTATTCACAATAGCAAAAACATGGAACCAACCATGCTGCCCATGAAAACTAGACTGGATTAAAAAATGTGGTACATATACACAATGGAATATTATGCAGCCATGAAGGACAAAATTATGGACTTTGCAATAACTTGGATGGATTTGAAGTCTATCATATTCAGTGATCTATCACAGAAACAAAAAATGAGTACCATATATTCTCATTCATAAGTGAACTCTGAATACCTGTCATAAGACTACAAAAAAAGGATTGGCAGTAGTGGGACACTGCCAGCGGGGGGTGGGGGGGGACACATAACATCAATAAGAGTGCCTGATTCTAATCCAGGTGAAGTGAGATCCAATGGGAGGTTCCAAACTTCACCTATACCTAAACCATTCATGTAAGTAATTCTGACTTGTACCCCACAATTTTAAAATAAAATAAAATAAAAATTAGGCTGGCACCATGCTGTGTGCTTGTAATCCAAGCTATAGCTAGCTACTTGGGAGGCTGAGGTGGAAAGATGACCCGAGGAGGTTGAGGCTGCGGTGAGTCATGATTGTGCTACTGCTTTCCAGTCTAGGTGAAAGAATGAGACTCTGATGCAAAAAAAAAAAAGGAACTAAACTATTTGTTCCCTACAGTAGTATCTCACAGACCTTAAAAGCAAACCATTTTGCTAATTAAGTCAGATAAATATGAACTCCTATTGGCCTGAGGTAGGATCTACATGTTTTTCAAATTAGTTTCTTAGACCGCACTTGCTCGTAGTCTCGGGCAGTGAGTACCTGTAGCAGGATAAGGACTTGTGCATTTATTTCAAAGATCAGTCTGACTCTATGTCCATTGTGACATTTGGAGGAATTATCTGAGACATCTCTTTCCTCTGTGGCCCGGACATGTCTTTTTTTCTCTCATATTTTTGCTCTGACTTTTTTTCTTTCAGCTTCAGGAATGCCTTCCTTTGTTCAAGCCAGCCCATGAGGAAAGAACCAGCCTGCTGTGTAATCCTAACAACATTCATAAAAGGGAATTCTTCCTAAATCCCCTTGGCACACAGCACCTTCATCAAGTTCTAGGAATCCATGTGCGAGGAACAAAGAGGATTGTTTAGTCTGTAAATTGGCTGTTCTGACAATGGAGCAATTCTGGCTTCTTTTTCAGCTTCACAGAGCTCCACAGCACAATCCTGGCAAGGAATCACAATGACGCTAGCTGCACTGAAACTGACAAACACGTGTGCAGGGCTGGAGTAGGATTAAAGCAATCAAATGCACACTGTTAATAGGATGAACTGCTATGAATTACAAGTTTGCATTGGGGAAGGATTTGAAAGCCTCTGCTGGACATTTTCAAGCATTATAACAAATAGTGTCCAATATAACAGTGACCATGATTATTATTAATATTATTGCAGCTAAACTTTTTAAAAATGCTTGCTTCATACCTGTGATTGTGCCTTTAAACACATCATTTCAAATGGAATTCCATTTGTTAGGTCTTACTGTCTCTATTTTAGAAATGGGAAGACTGAGGAATGAGGTGATGAGACCTGCCCCAGTTTAATCTGCTGGTGAGAGGCAGTGAGAGTGCTGGAATCCCTGCCTTGTCGTCATGTTGCTCCGTACCTCATCCTCTTCCTGTTTTTAGCATCTGCAATATCATATGTTACTGGGAGATCTGTTGAATGTTAGATTTGGGGGTCACTTGGAGGTGACACCTCCATCCTTCACCTTATAGGTGAAAAAGCTGAGGCTTAGAGAGGTCATCTGAGTAGCCCAAGGTCAATTTAGGTAATCTAGGAGCAGGACCTAAGTAAGTCTCCCAAGATAAAATCTAATGGGCTCTCTACCACCTGTTGTCATATAGTCATCAGCTTTTCATTCCATTGGTTTTGCAGCCCAACAGCTGCATTTTTTTCATTTGAATTCTATTCTCTGTTTTCAAATTACATGGCTTATCACTTGCAGAAGTGGGATTAAATCCACTGAATTTTGCTTAAATGCATCTCTTAAAGATCTGGAAGCCTATGGTATTATTATTAAGGTATTATTCATATAAATACAAGAGCAGGAGATGAGTCCTTATAACGCTTTGGGTAAATCTCTTTTGATATTAAAACATAATTAATGACTCTATAAGACTATGTGACTTCAAGTTACGGAGAGTCAGAAGAAGTAAAAGCGAGGAAGTGATTTGATCAAATCATCCCATAGTCATGTTGCATACATCAGTGTAGCCATCTCGTAATTTATTGCAAACGAAGAGTCAATAATTCCTATGTTCTTTACCTTTGATTGCTTCTGGCCCTGAGTATAAGATGTGCTGAGTGCTGCACAGAGAATGTTCCTTTGCTCTTTCTTAATTCTCTAACGATATTACCAGTGAGGTTCTGATGTTAAACCCATTTTCAGTTGAGGAAACTGAGGTTTAAAGAAATAAAGCATTCTACCTAAGATGGCGGTAGATATTACCTGAATCCAAGTGATCCAGGTGCCAGGGGTCGGTGGCCGACGACATGGGGGAGAGTGTCAGTGGCGAGGCCCCGCAGTTGGATTCTACCAGCTCCCCCTGGACGTGGACGTGAGCCGAGGTGTTTGTCTGCCTCAAGGCTGCCTTGAGAGGGGCGATCTGGTTGAACTGGACTCTGGAGAGACAACCAGTGAATCCTGGGGTGTTGTATTTGTGAATCTCTTGGTCAATCTTCCCTGTTTCTAAAAGAAAAAGAAAGAGAAAGTAAAAAATTTTATCTCACTTGCAATGTTCTGGCTGTACAGTATACTCATCTTTGAATGTTTGTGTCCAATTGCACTCTTAGATGTTATAATTGTTTTAGATGAGATATTAATGACTTGATAAGACTCAGGGCTGCAGATATCACTTTAAAAGAATCCCGTGTTACCAAAGAATGTAGGAGGGTAAGAATAAGACTCTATTTCATAAAACAAAATACATTCATGAGTACCTCCTGGCTACTTAACAGGTTGCTGAATCTAACAACACTCACTTCTGATCAATTTTTCTCCTTGATTTTTCTCATGCTTCCCTGACCTTCTTATCATAGTGAACAAGGTCCCCTGTTCAGTCCTCCTGGCAAATTATGGTTCTGCTTTGTATGATTTACTTCTTTTCTTCTTCAGAATTCTTTATTTGAAAGAAAGAAGGGGGAGGAGAAAGAAAAGAAAAGAAAAGAAAGAAAGAAAGAAAAAAGAAAGAAAGAAAGAAAAGAGTCCTGTAGCCTATAATTGGGTATTTCCTTTTTTCAGAATCCAATCCTCTCGGAATTCCAAGGATTATGGAATTCCTGCTAATAGTGTCTGATGGAGGTTTTGGAAGTCAGGACACTTGCCCCATTCAATCACAAACATACATATAAGTTTATGAATCACCACCTCCCCCCAGTCTGTAAGCACAGCATCTTCTCAAGGTGACACTCAGTTCAAGGGTGAGTCTAGTAGAGACATTTCCAAGGTCCCAATGTACAATGTCACCACACATTATTATATCAGTGAAATCAGTGTCTTTTGGTCCTCTGCTCCAAGTTTTATTAATTTTTATGTTTATAGATTCAGGGGTACATGGGCAGGTTTGTTACATGGATATATTGTGTAGTGGTGAGGTCTGGGCTTCTAGTGTATCCATTACCTGGATAGTGAACATTGTACTCAAAAAGCAACTTTTCTCTTGCCCTTCCCACCCTCTCCATTTCGGGGTCCCTGTTGTCTGTCATTCCCCTCTGTATGTCCATGGACAACCACTGCTTACTCCACTTATAAGTGAGAACATGTGGTATTTTATTTTGTTTCTCAGTTATTCACCCCAAGTTTTAGAACCTGTTGAACAGAAATCAACATTGAAGGGTCCTTAAGTGCTGAAGAGCTCTTGGCTAGTAAGCCAGGCAGACTGACCTCAGAGTTTTTTAACCACTACCATTTTCTGAACTGAGAAACAAATTGTGTATTTGATAAAATTATCACAGTCTGTGGTAAAACAGGGGAGTGTGTTTGCATAGGGTTCTGGAATATGTGCAGAAGAGATAACACTAGAACTAGGTTTTGAGGATGAAAGGAAAGAGAACTCCAGACCCAGCTTATGATGGGGGCTTGCTATGTTCAGGGATCTGATGGGGCCAGAGCTCAGGGTCAGATGGGGAAGGACCTTGAATGCCACTTGAAGATGCTTCTACCACCAGTAGGATATTCAAAGATGTTTAAGTTGCAGAGAACTGCGTTGGGAATGGTATTAGAAAGATAATTCCAGTCAGGCTTGGTGGCTCAGCCTATAATCCCAGCACTTTGGGAGACTGAGGAGAGTGGATTGCTTGAGACTGCGGGTTTGAGACCAGCCCAGGCAACATGGCGAGACCTCTTCTCTACAATAAATCAAAGCACACCTGTAGTTCCATTTACTTGGAAGGCCGAGGCGGAAGGACCGCAGGAGCCCAGCAGGTTGCCGCTGGGGTGGCTGTTGAGTGTGCCACTGCACTCCAGCCTGGGAGATGGAGTGAGACTCTAACTCCAAAAAAAAAAAAAAAAACAAAAAAAAGATAGTTCCAGTGGCAGCGTCACTTAGCTCTTCAGGCCTTGCCAACTTCCTGGGCCAAGAACAAGGATTCTTTTAGCTGCAGTGCTGAGGCAGGGTTATGCTCACCTTTGCCTAAAGTTATTATATTATCTATGTGAATCAGTTTCCATTTTGTTCCCTCTGCTTTTTTTTTGAGTTGGAGTCTCACTCCGTCGTCCAGGCTGGAGTGCAGTGACACACTCAACAGCCACCCCAGCGGCAACCTGCTGGGCTCCTGCGATTCTTCCTCCTCAGCCTTCCAGGTAGATGGAACTACAGGCATGCTTGGATTTATTGTAGAGATGAGGTCTCGCCATGTTGTCTGGGCTGGTCTCGAACTCGCGGTCTCTTTGGGGCTCTGGAGTGCGGTGGTACACTCACAGCCACTCCAGCATCAACCTGCTGGGCTCTGGCGATCCTTCTGCCTCAGCCTTCCAAGTAGCCACAGGTGCGCGCTACCTCGCCTGGCTAATATTTGATTTATTATAGAGACACGGTCTCGCCAAGTTGCCAAGGCTGGTCTCGAACCGCAGGTTCAAGCAATCCACTGGCCTCGGTCTCCCTAAGTGCTGGGATTACAGGCTGAGCCACCAAGCCTGGCCTGCGTAGGGAATTTTTGACTCAGGTCAATTTCATATGGTCTCTGACACAGGTTTCCAAACTTTAACGAGGGTAGGTTTCCCCGTGACAACACAGAAAATCCACTGTTCTCTGAGGGTTCTCAACTCAGCATGGCATCTCCACTTCTTAAAGAGCTGTCTTCCCCTTAGTGTCTCCCTCTGAGATGGCCTCTGGAGAGGGGAGCCCAGGGAGTGGGTTTCTGATAGTGGATCAGGGACAGAGGAATAGTGGACAGCAGCAGAGGTTCCTGTGGGCAGTGAGCACTGGTGGAGATGTCAACTGGACAGGCAGAAGGCAAGAGGAGACCTGTGGATGACCTACGTGTGCTTTCCCATTCTCTTTGGGGCTCTTTCTTTCTCTTCTTCTTATTGGAGGAAATCCTCAGTGTTTCGACTCTTGTTCCTTTCTTGAAAAGTTACTGGCCACCAAATCAAGGATTCTGAAGCCCAGGAGAACAGAACCAGTATTTCCAAATCTTCAGAGTGTCCCAAATCTAATTGATATGCCTCTTTCCTAAAGACTCTTGACTGGGACCCATTTCCCTGGGGGCCTAAGATGGCAATAAATGCTTTTTATTTTAGGACCTGATGGTTCCATCTCAGGGCCATGTGATAATAGCAGTATTAGAGCACCTACTATAAACCAAAGCCAGAACATGTGGGGGGTACTGTGCTTAGTAATTTTTATGCAGTATCTCATTAGATCTCCTGACAGCCCTCTGAGCTAGCTAGGATTACCCTCACTTCACAGATGGGGAAACTGAGGCTTAGAGAAGCAAAGTATTTGTCAATGAATAAACATTTGTGTATCTTATAAAAAGCAGATAAGTCAAATGTTTTGTATTAGTCACAATTTCTCTCTGAAAGAGACTATATTATGGGTTTTTTTTTGGTATATATATGTGGATTTTTAGCATTTCTAGTCAGGGACTCTATAGAAATGGTAACATGAGGTTTTTAGAAAAATAATTAAATGGTTATTAGAACTGCTTTAGGACCATGTTTCATTAGAGCCTAAATCAATAATTTGTTTTTCAAAAATGTGGTGAACTGATGTCAAATCTTTGCCAGTATCATTTCAGGCATCAGCAAGTTCTGTAAATGCTTGTCTGGAACAAGATCCTATATTTCTTAAGAATATCTATAAATGATAGTGTAGCTATCACTTTAGTGCATTTGAATTTATTACAAGGAAATTATGTTAATTTATAAAATTGATTGGACTAGTCTCATACTAAAATCAAATATTAAAATACCATTTGCTATAAGAAATTACTTTCTATTTGGAGATATCTTAGCTAAGGCATTATTTGGGGGAGAAAATCTGCTTTAAAAAATGCAAATTTTAGAAATGAGGTACAATCCCTTCTGAAATTAACTTCTCAAGCTGCAATCAGTACTTGTGTCTTATACTTCTAATGATATGGGTTACAGAAAATAGACCACTTAAAATACTGACACAATTCTGAGTAAAACCTTAAAATGAGATGCTCATGACAGTCTTTTTAAGCAATTATATTGGCAGTGCATTAGCACGCTTTCCTGGCTCTCGCTCTCAATCAGTTGCTGAATGCCAAGTGACAGGAGTGTTGTGAGAAATGAAAAGAGAAAAGGGCACCTGAACTGGAAACATGGGGAGAATGAAGGCAGCTCTGTGCAGGACAGACTTGTGCTCGAGGCGTCGTGTACATGCACGAGTGCCTCTTTGGTGACTGGGCAAGCTTTTATATGCAGCTTCTTAAGAGAGATTTCTCAATTTCCTTTGAGACTACTTAAATTGATCTATATATTCTTCTTGGGTATCCCATGGAATTTATTCACCAGCTGATTTTTGCTAGGTTTTATACCCTTTAGTTTCTTATTCATATTCTTTTTTGGGGAGGGGCATGTGATATTATGAAGTATAAAATATCACTGTACACGAATTCTTTTGCTTTTTAAGACACAGAAACAAAAGATCTTAGAATGTCAAGGAGACCTAATTTAACACTTTTGATACATATATATTGTATGCCCTTCACTGTGCTAGGACATCACCCTTCTTAGAATCTCTGGGGTCAACACAGATGGCCAACCTTGCTCTCAGTTCTAACAGCACACTGTTGCTCCACAGAGACTAGGTAGCACAACTGACCTCAAAGTGTGGTACACCCTCTCTTCCTTCTCTCTGTTCTGGGGTGCAGTGTGTCCCGCTGGTGGCAATAGGGGTTAAGTCATTCACAGGATGAGGAAGTTATTCCCTCCTCAGTTCCCCTTCAATACTTCAAAGATTCTTGGGTGTCTAAGGCCATACCACCCTGAAAGCACCCGATCTTGTCAAAGAGTCTTGTGTCGCCTCGGTTTGAGGTTAGACTGTGTTTGTCACCGAAGCAGGTTATTCAGGATAGGTTAGACATAGATAATATGTTTCTCGTAGGCAGTTTAAATTAAATTAAGGTGAGCATTCAGACATCTTTCTTGTTGATACACAACCTCTACCCAACCAACCAGGCACACCAGACCTGACCATCCTGTGGGTTGGAATGTGGATT